GCGGTTGTATTTTAATTCCCTGCAGCCTCTGGACCAGCCCCGAGGTGAAGCGTTGGGCTGGGGCTGTGGGACGTGGAGGAGGGAGAGGGAAAACTTTCCTTAGAGTTATTTTCCCCCGCTGTAAGCGATGGATATAGCGAGAGCAAAAATGAACTTTTTAATCTGTTGGGGATTCTTTTTTTTTTATGCTGCAGGGCAATTTCTAACACGCTTGATTTCTCTTGATAAAGAGCCGAGCCTGTGGTTAACTCCTAAAAGACGCTACAGGATTTTACTAATCCAACAACCAGTTCCGAGTCGGAAACTCGTGCAGAATATCCAAATGCACTGTTTACATTTGAAATGGAGACATAAACTTGGGCAGAATTTGAATAATAAATATAAAGTGGCAGAGCTAAAAAGAGTATTGCTGATCTAGTGGAAGGAGTTCCTGCCCATGGCAGGGGCTGGGAAGTGGATGATCCTTAAGGTCCCTTCCAACCCAAACCAGTCTGTGGTTCTGTGATATTTCGATTTATCCCCAAGATTAAATGTTTGGGACCCCAGTGACACCATTTACATCCCTCAGGCTTGAAAGGTTTCAGGTTGGAAATAGTCCCCTCATGGCCACGTGTGTGTCCCCACCTGTATTTTACGACTGGCTTTTATTTATCTTTTATTTATCTTTTATTTATCTCACTGGCTTTTATTTCTCTTTTCATATATGAGAAAAGCACTTCACTGCCTTTGTCTTATCACACCTCCAAAAAACTGCTGTAATTTCCCAAAGCCTCACTCCCCAAACTCATTTCTCCACCTCTGCTGCTGCGTGGGTCCTTCTTCTCCCAAAATCTGCCCTCATCCCTCCCTTATTTTGCTTTCCCTTCAATTTTTCACTCACGGAAGTGAAAATGTAGAGTGTCTGGGAGCACCTGGCCCTAAAAGTTCATATTTTACTGCAAAAGCATCTGAGGATAAAGGTATTATTGTTCTGTGGGTAAAATTTACACAGTGGTGATGGGTGATACCGACTGATCCATCAAGCTCTATTTTCAGGGTAACTATAAGCAAACTGACTAATTTAGTTTAACAAAATACCTCTATTCAGAATATTTTTCATGAAATTAAGTATTTTTTTTTTTAACATTCAGAGTGTAATCTTGTTGTTGTCCAGGCAAAACCTGCAGCCAGGCCCGCATTTTTTGTGTACAAGGAAGCCCTGATTTTGGTCCTGATTCTAAAATATTTAGGCACCAAAAATATTTTTAATCTTTTTTTTTTCTTTTTTTTTTACCCATTTAACATAACTATTTAATATATTATTTCTTTCAAGAGGCAGCATCTGCACAATGGCGTTAATCTCTGTATTATATCAAACACACAGGTATGAAAACACAGTTAAACAATCGGCAGAGCTATTTCCACACAGCATTTCAAGTGGGAAATTACACTTGCTATTATCCCAGTATGAAAATAGAGGGGAAGAAAAAAAAAAAGTGACGGGTGAAATGATTTTAATGATGAAAATAGTTTTAAGTGCAATTACAGCTGTTAAGCTGTCAGGTCTCCATCCCACAAATCCTTAAACACACGCAGAACTTACACCTAATTAATGGAAATAAGTAGGTCAAGGTGCTGTTTTGTGCCTGGAGAATGTGACAACATCAGTCATTAAAGGAGAGATAAGTAGCAGGGTGTGAATTGGGATCATTATGTGTGCAGCATTTCCATAAAAGTTGAAGAAACTTGGCTTGCCACAATATTTGGAACAGCAGTGATGGGGAGCATTAATGGCCTGATCCTGCCAATTGCTTTCCACATGGAAATTCCCCTTTGGTTGTTACTCGTGGGTTATTTTAAAGTTAATCCAGTGGAATCACCTGGGCAGGCAGGTCATGGGATCACAGAATGGTTGGAAGGGATTTTAAAGGATCAACCCCTCTGCAGTGAGCAGGGACCTCAACTGAATCAGGATGAGGGAATTAGAAAGGAGAGAAGGCACCACTCTCAGTCAGGTGCCAGATGGTCCCCTGGTGTTGTATTGTATGTTAATTTATGGTAATTATAATTATCCTGAGGGCAGTGCTAGACAGGAGACAAGAGACCAGATCTACTAATTCCTCTGCACACTGGGAACTTTTCTGGGACCAGGGAAGCAGGATGTGGTCTTTAGACATTCGTGACTTGGGCCTTCCTGAGACAGAGATGGGATTTTTGTGTTCCGCAGCTCTTGATGGATTTTATTATCCTGTTACAAAAATCCTGTGGGGGTGGAGGCCAAATCCTGCTCCCCTCACCGAGAGTTGATTTCCTTGGGTCTGGCTGCATGTCCAGGTGGTACTTGAGAGTAAAATCACAGGTCCCCAAAAGATCATCTGCTCCAACCTCTCCTGGGAAAGGGAGCCTAGATGAGATTATCTGGGTTGGGACAGGGCAGGGACACCCCTGCTTTTTTTGGTGCTGCTTTCCCCTGGCTCTTGTGACGAAAACCCCTTCAATTTTCGCTGCTTTCTCGCAGGTCTGGAGTTGTCTCACTGCGTTGGGACCAACTCTCTGGGTCCTGTTGGGCCTTGGAGGTTGGGGGGGCCCTGCAAGATGAAGAGGGTCCGCACTGTCTTCAAACCAGAGCAGCTGGAGCGGTTGGAGCAGGAATTCCTCAAGCAGCAGTACATGGTGGGCACGGAGCGAGTGGACCTGGCTGCGACTCTGCACCTCACGGAGACTCAGGTAAGGAATGGGTGGCACCAATCCTGTGTCTGCTCCGGGATGGTTTTCCCACAGGGAAGTGCAGTGGGAGGAGGACACGATGCAAAGTGACCTGTGGGATTCCCTGTTGCAAGATGGCATGGAAGGGATGTGCCTGGAGAGATGGGTTTGGATGGTTCATGGGTGAGATTTCTTAAGCATTCAGGAGCACAAACCTGCTATGCTTTAGAGTTGGAGCTGGGTTGGACTCATGGATCTGTGCTGTTTAGGTCCTCTGGGGACAGTTTGTGCTTTGAGTGTCCTTTTATTTATTATTGTTATTTTCCTGCTCTTCCCGATAAGTTCCTGCCTTTCCCAAAGCAAGCTGCTTGTTTATTGTGGAAAGAAGGAGGCAGGTGATCTTCCATGGTGGGGTCTAAATTCAGCTGGAGAAAAAGGAGAGCAAAGCCAGGGTGATTCTGGGGGCACAGGGGGTGTTTTGGGGTCTCATCATGCCCTCTGGCAGCTGCAGTCCTGGGAATGGGTCCAGTGGCTCCTTAGGGAGCTGCTTCCTTCACTCTCCTGGCCAGAGTTTCCTCAGTGCAGCTGCATCCCCATCTCTCCTGATCCTATTCCCAGCACTGCTCTGCCCTCCACAGCGTCACCTCCTCCTGCTCTCATTCACCATTCCCCGAGCAAAGAAAGGGCACGTCCCCATTTTTAAGGAACTCTTTTTGGGGACATTTTCCTTGGAAGCACGTGGCATTGGAAACGTGCTCCCGGAGACCTCGGATTCAGCTGTTCCATGTCCCTGCCAGGTGAAAGTCTGGTTCCAGAACCGGAGGATCAAGTGGAGGAAGCAGAGCATGGAGCAGAAGGCGGCAAAGCTGTCCCAGTTTGGGGTGATCCAGCCTGCGACCGCCGACTCCACGGACATCAAGGACCACGAGGAGGACACCGTGGACGTGGAGCTTTGAGCAGCTGAGACTGAGCTGCCACTGCTGGTTTTTGATGCCTGGGGACGTGTCTGTGCTGCTTTGGTCCAAGAGAGACATTACCCTCTCGATCCAAGAGCTGGAGCTACAGGACTAAAATGCAGCTGGTGGGGAGGAACCCACCCCAAATTTATTTGGCTGCTCTTTGGTAGCCATGTTGCTGTAATTCCTGGGGCTTCTTCACCAGGCTGGTTGTGCTTGATGGTAGGTGATCTCTCCTGTTTGCTCTTGGAGCACCAGGGCACAGTTTCAAGCAGAGAGTGACAATCAGAGGGTGTCTCTGATGGTTGGGTGGCAATCAGTGTCTCTGATGCTGGGGGTGACAATTCTCCCTGATGGCTTTTCCTGGTTAACTTGACTCCCCTGTTTGATGCTTAGATCATAACCAAAAACACCCCAAAATTGGAAAGCCCTTTGCTTCCACCCACAACGCTCCTGCTATAAGATGATCAGGGTCTTTCCAGGGTCTTTCTACCCCTGGAACAGAAGTGCCTCCTCTTGGCAGTGCCTTGGTGTATTTGTGCCTTTTTTTTTTGGCTTCTCAAACCCAGGAGAACCCGGTGGTCTCTCCATCTCCTGGCATTGCCTTCCTTGGCCAAGGTGTCCGTGTGCTGCAGGGAATGAGGCACTGGAGCCCTGGCCAAGGTGTGGGGACGGGGGGCTGCTGTAAAAAGCAGCTTTCCAACACCTCTGGTGCCTCAGACGACCCCCTGCCCCTTGTCCAGATGTGCTGGTTCTGCCCAGACGGCAACTGCTCTGTTCTCTCCTCATTATCCACCCAGGTGCCATGGGAAACAGCACCTGGAGCGTTCGGGGAGCACATCTGTAAGGGCCCGATGTAGTTAACAGCTGGATTTCTGGTGGCTGGGAGGGCTTGGAGGGGTCAGGACTAATGTCTGCCCAGGGTACCAACCACGTCCAGTCAGCTCAGGATAATTTATTCCTTCTCTTTCTGTCCCAGAACACTGTATATCACTTTACTCTTCTATTGTTATTTATAAAAGTCGGTTTTTTTTCTTTCCTTAATAAGTGCCATTTATTTATTTGCTTTGTTTCTTAATAAAAGTTGAGCGTGTTTTAAAAAGAGAGATGGAAAGGGTGTCAAAAAACACATTTCCAATTACTCACTTAAATTTTCAATTGAAATTATTACCAAAAAAGTTAAACCCAGTGTTATTTTCATCCTTCTCAAAAATGTTTGAGGATTTTTTTCCTTAATAAAATGTTTTGAACAAAATACATGGTAAAGAATTTTTCCTTTAATTGTTTGATGACCCCGTATTATAGGTGAAAGTAATTAACATAAGTTATTATCTCTGGGCTGGTTCCTGCAGAGATAAAACTACATTTGCAGTAGGAAAGGTAGTGTCTGGTGAGCATGGGGTGCTCAGGTTGGAGCTGTGGCTCCTGGAGAACAAGGACCTGTGTCTGCAGGTGGATGTGGCCAAACCTTCTCTGCTGAGGGGCTGGAGCATGTTCAGAGAAGGGCAGTGGAGCTGGAAAAAGGGTCTGGAGAACAAGGAGCAGCTGAGGGAGCTGGGGGGGGCTCAGCCTGGAGAAAAGGAGGCTCAGGAGGGACCTTTTCACTCTACAATTCCCTGACATGAGGGTGGAGCCAGGTGGGGGTCGGGCTCTGCTCCCAGGGAACAAGGGGCAGGACAAGTAATCACAGAATTATTTAGGTTGGAAAAGACCTCCAAGATCATCTAGTCCAACCTGTGATTGATCCTTGTCAACTAGACCAGAGCACTGAGTGCCACATCCAGTCATTCCTTGAACACTTCCACAATAGTGACTCCAGCACATCCCTGGGCAGTCCCTTCCAATGCCTGACAATCCATGAATAAATCACTGAGGAAAGTCTCAGGTTGTGCTATGAAAGGTTTAGATTGGATATTAAGGAAAATTCCTTCATGGAAAGGGGTTGTCTGGCTTTGTTGTTGTCTGGCTCCACCACCCAGGGAGGTGGTGGAGTCCCCGTCCCTGGAGGGATTTAATAGCGATGTGGATGTGGCACTTGGGGACAGGGGTTAGTGGTGGCCTTGGCAGTCCTGGGGGAACAGCTGGACTCAATGATCTTAGAAGGTGTCATGGTTTGAATCTTGTTTTCCCCCAGAGGCTAAGAAAAGTGGTAGACCCCAAGGGGTGGAAACCCCTGGAAGTTTTGGAGTTCTGTCCAATGGGCGCTCCTGCAAAAATGTCAACATCCCACAAGCTCACCGGAAGAG